TCATTAGTTTTCTAAAAAGTCCAAGATCATAAAAAAGTTACGGCCAAAATACAAAAATTTGTCTTGCTGAAAATTGAACAGCGGGAAGCTCCGTGTAAACTTCAGTGCAAGCTCCGGTACCCACCAGAAGTTCATTGTGCCACCGAAAACCTCTGGTGCTACCGTTCCAAACCTTTGGTGCTCACTGCAAATGCATAATGGCTACTTCCAATGTCTAGTTTATATGGCATCACCGAAAAGCTCCGGTGCTACTGTTCAAAAGCTCCTGTGCTCATAGAAAAGTTGTTAGTGGCTAGTAACGGCTACTTTATTTTGAATGTTGGGGCTACATATACCCCATTGCTCAACCATTTGAAGTGTGCTACAACTGATGGAAGTGTGTGGAGAGTTGAGGCTCATCCATTTGTGCTTTAACCACCAAAACTGCTTAGGGAAATATTAGGTGGATAGTGTAGGTGCTTTTGCGAAGTGCTTATGCTAATTAGACCACTGCTAAAAGCGCTTGATCTAAGTTTAGGCCTAGTGTTATTGAGGTTTGCATACCTCTTGCTCGCTCAGTGCTTGCGTGCATCATTGTTGTACTTGGAGGGGCTTGTAGTCTTGCGAGATCACTGCAACCGTGTTTATGGTGTGGACACCATCGGTGTACCGGAGGAAACAAGGCCTATGGCGTTTTGACTGGAAGCTTGATAGTGAAGACAACGAGAAACGGTCCAAGAGAGACCATCTCAGAAGCCCACTTGCTTGTGGGAAAGGCCCGAAGGCTATCCATAGAGTTACCTAATTAGGAGCTTTACCCTTCCGAGGCGCTTCAACAAGAACTAAGGGCAAGCGTGAGCTTCTTGATACCTCGGTAAAAATACTAGTCATCGATGGGAGTTTGTATCTCTATCTCAATTAAGCTTCCACACTTTAATTTATGTACCTAGGTTGTATCCTTGATATTCTAGATTAGCTTGCTAGGCTAGTTGATAGGATTGGAACCTAGGTTGCATACTCTTTGCTGTAGAGATAGCAATACACTGCACATCTAAATAAATTACTTTACTGCATAGATTTTGATAAGTGAAAATTAGAGGTCAAGTTTAGAGTAGAAGTTTTTAGAAAGCCTAACTGAAAACCCACCCCCTCTTAGACGCCACGGTCCCTACAGGTGCTACTATACATTGAATAACTACAAACCGCTACAAATAATATAAATGTGATTAATATTGATCTATTTTGGAGAAGCAATCAAATCTTCTTATAGTAATGCATTAGTCAAGTAGGCATTTACCCCCTCCATCCTCAAATATAAGGTATATATCATACAGAAAGTCTACGACATATTAATTAATAGGGTAAAGCAAATGACACTCTCTTAATCTAAAGAGATCATGTAATTATCATATTTGGGTTGATAGACATTAACAATTGGTACTCATGTGAATTATGATGCCCTTTTTAATTGATGTGGGGGTTATCTCACCAAAAATCTTTTACAATCTGGAATAAATTTGAAATGATTGGGTTTCGCTACCTTATATAGATTTCATAATGATGTCATGTTCGTTTGTCTTATAATCCGTACTTTTCAGCTAGAACAGTGTCTTTCTCTCACAACAAATCAGCTAGAATAGTGTTTCAGCTTGTTTTTTCAGCGAAGCGAACGGGACAAAAAAAAACTTCTTTGTATCCTGCTATATAGTAGTCTAGACCAATATTTTTGGCTTTGGCACAAATGAGAGCAGAGACGAGAAATCATGCAGCAAGATAAGGTCGTCGATATGAGTTGGGAAATACGTATTCTCATTAAATACAGTAGGTAGTAAGTCCAACTCGTACCGATTCAAGCTTGATCACTTTTTTGAAGGACGATTTGGTATACACTTCAGGCCACGAAACACTTAACCACGCCACAAATAGTAGGTGAATCGGGGAAAAATTAGTTTAATAACAGAAAAAAAGGCAATGCCTTGACAATAAGCACTACTAGTAGATGAAACCAAATTATTTGGAACCAAAATAGAAAGATGAAAAAAATCCATCAGCCTGTTCACTTGGTCGTAAACGATTATGGATTATAAGTCAGAACAATATTTTTCTCTCACATCAAACCAGCCAGAAGTAATAATCTACGATCGTTTCGGCCGAAACGACAGGCCACATATATATATAGATCTTGTATCCCTTTTCATGAGAAAGGAAAAGGATCTAGCTAGAAAACGTGGCAGCCTTCCATTGGCCGAGGACGTTTATATAAGCGCACTGGTCCTTCTCACGAGTCACGTCTTCTAGCTCCCTCCGATAGCAAAGTATACTTCGATCGCCATGGGTCGTCGTACCTTCTTCTCCTTCCACAATGCAACAAGCACGGCGATGGTGCTCCTGCTGGCACTGTTCTTTTCATCGGCCGTGGCGGGGAGCGACCCGCTGTTCTCGTGCGGCCCGTCGTCGCCGTCGCGGGCCTACCCTTTCTGCGACCGTTCGCTCCCCGCGGCGCGGCGCGCGGCGGACCTGGTGTCGCGGCTGACGGTGGCGGAGAAGGTGTCGCAGCTGGGCGACGAGGCGGCGGGGGTGCCGCGGCTGGGCGTGCCGCCGTACAAGTGGTGGTCGGAGGGGCTGCACGGGCTCGCCTTCTGGGGCCACGGCATGCGGTTCAATGGCACCGTCACCGGCGTCACCAGCTTCCCGCAGGTGCTGCTCACCACCGCCTCCTTCGACGACGGCCTCTGGTTCCGCATCGGCCAGGTACGTACCCACCACCGCCGGCATGCGATGCGCCTACCTAAGTACCTAATTAACATACCACGTCTACCGTATATGCTGTATGGGCGTGCATTGCACTATATATGTTTTCATATTGAAAACACAGATAGCTAGAGGAAGATGCTCACAGCATGCACGTATATTCAGTTTTTTAATACAAGCACATCTCTATCCCTGTGATGTGAATGTCTGGGAGAGATTAGGCACGGCAATGGGGAGGAAAATTCCGTGGACGATGGGTCCAAAGCCCAGTCCGTGCGCCCCTATCACTGCCTCGTGGCACCTTAAAAAATGAGACCGGACAGGAGGTGCGGAACTGGGAGGGGGAGACTTGAAGCTAACTCAGCGGGAACGCATGTTTGTGGCGGGAGCAGGGCGAGATTACGAGAAGTGCGTCGGATCGGCCACCTGTCCACGTGGCGGCCATCTAAGGCATGGGCACACGGACGGAAGTTTGGACCCAGGGTCCACGGAATTTTCTTCAGGCAATGGGCAGTTGGTACATCAGTCGCCGGGGTCTTTACTTTAGGATTCAGATTATACAGATACGAAACCAGAAAGCTAGATTCTAGAGCTACGATTAGTCTGCAAAATAAATGTTCATATACGCAAAATCAAAGACTAGGAACCAAGGCCCTGTTCACTTGTCTTATGAGACGTACTATTTCAGCGAACGAATAGTGTTTTTCTCTCGTAACAAATCAACGAACGGTACTTTCAGCCATGGCTTTTGAGCAAAGCGAACAGGGCCAAAATATCATGAAATTCATGGATGTCACTGCAAACATTTAATTGGTGCGTCATTTTCATAGATATTATCTATATATACACAGGATGTTTCTTCTAGCAGGCCCGCCTTTGGTACAGTAAGATAGTGTGGGTCACATCCTTGTGTCGTACTCCTTCCATCCAACAAAAATATATAACTTTCACTTTTTTAGAGTCACAAACAATGAATAAAATTATAAAAAACTATTAATATTTACATTAAATTATTAATCTAGTTGGAGATATAAATGTCAATATTATTTACTATAAACTTAGTTAAATTTGAGCTAGTTATTAGACTTGCACAAATCGTATAGTTACATTCTTTTTTTGGACCGAAGGCGTATCGTATATTTTGAATATTGACAACTATATATGCTTGCAAAACTCTCCTGACTTGCAACTTTTCACTGAAAACTAGCATGCTGAGCTGTACATACAAATGTTTTTTCCTTGTGGTAAATTAAATTGGACATGGGTTGTAGCGCAAATGTATCATGTGTGTATTTTATTTAATTTTAACTAAATGTATCATGTGTGTAAATTAAATTAGCCGTACGGACTATACTTCCAAAATGGCGGCTGTAACTTCCGCCGTCACGGCCACAGGGCAAAGACAGCACAGTAATAGTTAGGGTAGGTAGAGGATGAGAGGTGTAGTACGTTCAGAATATGACTCTGATTGGTCGCAGGTGTAGTACGATATGCGGTGGTTGCAAAGGTACGCGTCTTCGCACTACGCTCTGATAGATCGAGCACGCCCCTGCTTTTGTTTCGGCCAGCACCGATCAATTGATTGGTGTGGCAACCAATGCAACTGTTACAGCTTCACTGATCTCACAGCATTCGTGCGCTGGGGCTCGCTGGATGATTTTGATCCAGCTTGATTGATATATAATAATCGAATACTGATGGCGATATATGTCGTCCCAACAATAATCGGTATGCTTGCTGCAGAACAGGATAAGGACCCCGTTCGGCTTATCCCATATCTGGCTTGTTCGGTTTTTTTTTTCAGTCGGAACAGTATTTTTCTATCACAATATTTCAACCAGAACAGTATTTTTCAACCAATTTCGATCAAAATTCTGCCAGTCGAACGGGTCAAGAGCTCCTTTGGTTCCCGGGAATCGTTTCCTAATCACTAGCCGAATTGTTTGGCTAATTTATATAACTTTGACTAGCTAGAACGATTCTAAAGTGAAATAGTTTTTTGTTTTTAGAAAAAAAAATAGGAAGAAGCAATGCCTCAGTTATTTTGTTCGTAACGTTCTGATTTCAGATTACTTGAAATATATAGGTGAACATGACACCACTTTGCATCCTGTTGTCGTCAACCTAAAGACGATAGAGAAATGTGGTTAGTGCGTTCGAACCACGAGACACAGTACTGTTTTTCATTCAGGGCCGCATGCAGATGCATGTGCCTGTCTTTGTCACGTTGCTTTGCACCCGCACCCTCCGTGATCGATCCATCGTTCCGAATGCGCGTACATAAATGAGGGAACAGCAGTACAACTCACACCTATCGGTTACCCACTTTCACAATTGCCAAAGTGGCAATCACCAACTTGTTGAGCGTGCAACTGAAGCATGTCCTACAGTCCTACTATTCTTCATGGAATGATCATTAGCCAAGTTGGCAGCATTTGTTTGTTCGTTCGCTAATCTAATCGCTACAGAGATATGCTGCGTCCTGCCATGGTAACGTGAAAATTGGTATCGTGCAGGCCATCGGGCGGGAGGCCCGGGCACTATACAACCTGGGGCAGGCGGAGGGGCTCACCATCTGGTCACCCAACGTGAACATCTTCCGGGACCCGCGGTGGGGCCGCGGGCAGGAGACCCCCGGCGAGGACCCAGCCGTGGCCAGCAAGTACGGCGTCGCCTTCGTCAGGGGCATCCAGGGCAGCACCCCCGCCGGCGCTCCGGCGCCGCTGCAGGCCTCGGCGTGCTGCAAGCACGCCACGGCCTACGACCTCGAGGACTGGAACGGCGTGGCGCGCTACGACTTCGACGCCCGGGTGACGCTGCAGGACCTGGCCGACACGTTCAACCCGCCGTTCCAGAGCTGCGTCGTCGACGGCAAGGCCAGCTGCGTCATGTGCGCCTACACGGGGATCAACGGCGTGCCCGCCTGCGCCAGCTCCGACCTGCTCACCAAGACGTTCCGAGGCGCCTGGGGCCTCGACGGCTACGTGTCCTCGGACTGCGACGCCGTGGCCATCATGCACGACGCGCAGCGCTACGTGCCCACGCCGGAGGACACCGTCGCCGTCGCCCTCAAGGCTGGTAAGTTTATACTGGCCGGGGAACTTTAATCAGTAAGTACGAGACACGGCACTAATATGACTGACCTGGCTTTTATTAATTTATAATTTCAGGACTGGACCTGAACTGCGGGACCTACACACAGGAGCACGGCATGGCCGCGATCCAGCAGGGGAAGATGACGGAGAAGGACGTGGACAAGGCGCTCACCAACCTCTTCGCCGTGCGGATGCGGCTGGGCCACTTCGACGGCGACCCGCGCGGCAACGCGCTGTACGGACGCCTTGGCGCCGCGGACGTGTGCACCGCCGACCACAAGAACCTCGCCCTCGAGGCGGCGCAGGACGGCATCGTCCTCCTCAAGAACGACGCGGGCATCCTCCCGCTCGACCGGTCCGCGGTGGGCTCCGCGGCCGTGATCGGGCACAACGCCAACGACCCGCTCGTGCTGAGCGGGAACTACTTCGGCCCTGCGTGCAAGACCACCACGCCGCTAGAGGGGATCCAGAGCTATGTCAGGAACGTGCGGTTCTTGGCCGGGTGCAGCTCGGCGGCCTGCGGCTACGCCGCGACGGGCCAGGCGGCCGCGCTCGCGAGCTCGTCGGAGTATGTGTTCCTGTTTATGGGGCTCAGCCAGGATCAGGAGAAGGAAGGGCTGGACAGGACGAGCCTGCTGCTCCCGGGAAAGCAGCAGAGCCTCATCACCGCCGTCGCCAGCGCGGCCAGGCGGCCGGTGATCCTTGTGCTGCTCACGGGCGGCCCCGTGGACATCACGTTCGCGCAGTCGAACCCCAAGATCGGCGCCATCCTGTGGGCAGGCTACCCAGGCCAGGCAGGAGGGCTTGCCATCGCCAGAGTCCTCTTCGGCGACCACAACCCCAGCGGCAGGTTGCCCGTGACATGGTACCCGGAGGAGTTCACAAAGGTGCCCATGACGGATATGCGAATGCGTGCCGATCCGGCCACCGGATACCCCGGCAGGAGCTACCGCTTCTACCGGGGCAACACCATCTACAAGTTTGGATACGGCCTCAGCTACTCCAAGTTCTCACACCAGCTAGTCACCGGCGGCAAGAACCATCTGGCTCCTAGCACGAGCCTACTTGCCGGCCTGTCCGCGACGACCAAGGACACCACGAGCTATTACCACGTCGATGACATCGGCGCGGACGGGTGTGAGCAGCTCAAGTTCCCGGCGGAGGTCGAGGTGCAGAACCACGGACCAATGGACGGCAAGCACTCGGTGCTCATGTTTCTCCGGTGGCCCAATGAGACGGATGGCCGGCCGGTGAGCCAGCTGATCGGGTTCAGGAGCCAGCACATCAAGGCAGGGGAGAAGGCCAACGTGAGGTTTGATGTCAGCCCGTGCGAACATTTCAGCCGGGCGAGGGAGGACGGCAAGAAGGTGATCGACAGAGGGTCTCATTTCCTCATGGTCGGCAAGGAAGAGTTGCAGATCAGCTTTGAAGCCTGATGTATAACAGGAAAAGGATTACAGTTCACAGGTGGTGCAGTCTTGCAGAGCAAGTCTTTGGTTGGTAACTTCAGCGATACAGCATAGGACACAAGATGTTAAGTAATTTATAATTCATTCATAATTGCCTCAAAAAGTTGGGGCTTTTACATGTGATTTATTATTATCAAGTGTAATCATGTTTACCTGTAAAATATAGTTGAATTATTATTATTGAAATAAAATCCATTTTTCAGATGGGAAAAATCATGGTGATCCATCAAACAACACTCGTTATAGTAGAGAACTAGTGGATGTGTACGTGCGGTACGTGTGTGTTTATCAGAAAATCATAATAGAGGATAATATAGTAATAAGATATTCAAAAATTCAATTTCTATATATGTAGCACGTTCTGATCCTGACAACACCAAAGAGCACAAATGACATTTCCATTGAGCTAATCAATGCATATACATTGGTTACCATGAGTGGTTGGTGAGGTTAAGACTAATGGTGAACCCTTGAGCTTAACGTGACGGCAAGGCTTTTGTGGTCGATGTAGGAGCTGATGGCAACCCCACCCGAACGAGAGGGGGCCGAATTATCAATTGTCTGGCCATGGAGGTGTGTCAAGCTTCGTATGACACAGTTTCGTACTTTTAGAAGATCATAACAAGATGCTCTTTAAGCCTTGACTTCATTAGAGCTGCACTTCACCAATCTCCGGTGGCAATGAGCACCGGAGTATCTTACAACCAATCAATCTTCGGAGTTACCTCACAATCTTTAATTTGAGTGCTTCAATGGAGCCCCACTAGCTTCTACTCCCATCGCCTAAGAAGAGTGTCGTATAGAGTTTTGTGCTAGTCAAACTTATTTATAAAACATAATAACAACATTTGTATCGTAAGTTTATTAAAAAATGTATTCAAAGGTTAATTTACTAATATTTAGTATGCACTGTGAATACTATTAATATTATCTATATATATTTGGTTAATGCTAAAAAATATTCTTTTTGAGAAATAAGAATGATATTTTTTTGATAAAAAAGAGTAAGGGTTTGTTTGCATACTCGAAACGATTCAGTTTCCTGTCAAAATCATCCAAATCTGTTCCAAACACACTTGAACAAAAGCACGGTTTCTCCTTGAAACGATTCTTGTTTTCTTCACTAGCTCGCGAAACAGCTATATCCTAGTTTCGCAACGATTATCTGTAACACCCTAAAATTTTTATGGTTTTAAAATAGAAGAAAATGATTTAATTACGCATTTAAGTTTACAAAAATAACCACTTTATTAAAATTAAAACCAAATATAGGTCTACGTACATGTATGTGCATCCATGCTGCTGCATCTTTATTTTGTGATGCTTTGGTTTAATTAGAATTTGCAAAGGAATTTGAATTTGAGTTTAAATTGGATTTGAAAATGTGTTAAGAAAATAGGAAAGGAGTTTTATTTCCTCCTCTCTCCCTCTCTTGAATTTGGCCCGAACAGCCCAGCTCGGTCTGGCTTCCTGCGCGGCCCGCTTTCTCCGCGCGGCCCGCTCTCTCTCTCTCTGCAGCGGCCCAGCAGGCCGGCCCAGCAACGTCGTCCGCGCTCTCCTCTCTCCCGCCGTGCCTTGCTAACGAGCCGGTCCCGCCTGTCAGTCGCCTTTCTCCTTCCTCCGACTCGTTTCCGCGCCGGACTCCGCCTCCGCCACGACCGTGTCTTGGCATGCTGCCCATGCTGCTCCGCCTTCATAAATAGCGCCTGTGCCATGCCGCTCTCCTACCTAATCTTAGAGCCAGCGCCGCCCACACTTGTGCTCCACGCTAACGCCAAACCCTAGCAGCTCGAGTCGCCGCCGTCGCCGTTCGCCTCACCGAGCGACCCGCCGCCGCAGTCCTGCCCTCACCGACGAAAACTCCCTTGGTGAGTTCGCCTTGATCTCCTCTCTCTCCCCGTGCCTTTGTTTCACTCAGTGCTGGTCCGTAGGCCCTAAACCGCGAACGCCGGCGAGCTCCTCGCCGTTGTTCATGGAGGTCCGCCGTGCCCGGCCCTATTCCGACAACCGCGCTCTCTCTCTTCCCCTCCCGATCTGATCTCCACCCTCCGTTTAAGATCCGATGGACCAGATTCAAAGATACATCTTCGGTTGGCAAACTTTTAAAAGAGCCCCTCAGTTTTATTGAAAAAGAACCTGCACTCCATAGCGTATTCCAATAATACGTTTTCTCTTTCTGAAAGTGTAGTTTCCCTCTGTTAGATTTATAATACGTTTTTTTCTATTTACAGTTTTGCCACTAGTTTTCTTTAGGCCATAACTTTCACGTTTTAGCTCCGATTTGACCCGTTCAAGTTGCGTTAGGTAAATAATTGTGTAATCTACATGTTCATACTACTGATAAGTGTGTTTTCAACTTCTAAAATTCGAGGTTAGATTTAATCTATTATTTTACTAAAGAAAATCTTGTTTAATTCATAACTTCTTCGTTTTAGCTCTGATTTTTGTGATCTTCGCGTCTATGTTTTCGTAGTGAGATGTAGATTCGTTTTACAAACTTTTTATCTTGATTTTATGCTGGTTGGTGTACTATTCTAATCTATAGCTTTTGTTTGCTATGCATGATTGCTTCTGGATGCTTGTATGTTGCTGTGATTATCGAGTATAGACGGTGAGCAATTCATAGGTGATAAAGAGTACTACTTTGATGAACAGGATTAGCAGGAGTACTTTGTTCAAGGCAAGTATAGCATGGGATTATCCTTGTTTACTATCAACTTTAATACATTTAATTCATGTTGTATGTGTCACCTTGATAGGGATTCTCTAGAATTGTACTTATACCTTGTCTCCTATGGGATACGCATTGGGTAGCTTTGTTAGTGCTCAACTAAACCATGATCTTGTAACTTGACTAATGATATATGCAATAAATATTAAAACATGACTTTTAGCAACTTGGAAACAGGGGGATGGAGTAATTAGCTACTTTCTAAATATTTCAGATTCCTCTCCCTAAGGACTTATCTGTAAGTGATCATCCGGGACTTACAGTACAGCTATGAGGGCTACATGGCTCTGGCTTTAGCTCAGTATGAGGATCTTTTCTAGCTTGTTAGAGGTTACCTTTATTGGCATAAGAATGGCTTGCCGAATCGGGTATAGGATAGCCTCTACTTTTATGTGTATAGCCATGATGGAATTGTGCCATTCGATGGGGGGATTCCTATATCTGTTTGCTGAGTGAATCTAATGGCCCTATCTTGTTAGACGAACCTTTGAAAGGCTTCATACTGAACCCTGCCTTGTCACCTTGAAAGTGTTTTGGGAGTAATTAACCCGGGCATATGGGTATCACGACTCACAGTGAAAGTGTACAACCTCTACAGAGTGTAAACTGGTATATCAGCTATGCTCATGGTCACAAGCGACCTTGGAACCCTTATGGAATAGTGGATCACTATGAATTATCCGATTATGTTATTCATTATTCATGTTTACATTGATCATGTGTTTCACTTTGGGATTAAAACAACTTGTTGCTACTCTTATGCTAAAATTGTCACAACTAAAGGTTGAATGCTATTAAACCTGTGTCAAGCCTTTTGAGCCTCATGAACCCCATGTTACACTTGTTGAGTATGACATGTACTTACGCTGGTTTATTTTCATTATTTGGATAAAAATCCCGGATGGGTAACAGATGGCTATGGTAATGATGACTTTCCTGAGGATTACTAGACTTGTGGTCAACCAGTTGACGTTCCTATGATATGGAGCTTCCACGAGAGATTTTTCTTTATACTTTCGCTACATTTATGTGAAGACTATGTCTTATTATTCGTGATGTAATAAACACTTGTGATGATACTAGTTATAATTTGTCGGCTTCTGTGTGTGACTGATCTCTGGACGCACATAAGATTATGCATCCCATTTTATCCTTAAAATCGGGTGTGACAGATTGGTATCAGAGCCGTGTTGACTGTAGGACGCAACCCTAGTTAGCAATGGCCGTTTTTGCTTCTTTTGCTTCACTCATTTTATGCTTCCCATCTCACCCTTGTTATTTGCTAAATTTTATGCTTCTTTTGCTTCACTCTGTTATAAATTTTTTTGCTTCTATTCTAACTAAATCTAATTCTGTAGATGCCTCATGCCAATAAGAACCGCTCGCATCAGCACCGGAGGTTACTACCCGCCTCGTGGCTTGTATGAGTCCATGGAGCCACGTGAGGAGGAGGAACCCCAGGAGAAAGAAGTTGATTCGCCAGCACCTGCACCTACGCCTGAGCCATTCTAGGAAGAGCCCGAAGAAGAAGAATTCAAAGTGGAGGTCGTTGTATTGTATGATGATGAGGAGGAGGAGGAGGACGCCGTTCAAGAAGATCAGCCTACCCCTGTCATGGGATGGACTACAAAGATCTGGTACAATCCGGGGTGTGAATCCTCTGTCTCGCACCACCGACTTATGGGGATTCTTCATACCTACTACGCTGATTGGGACGCAGATGTGGAGTACGTCTACAACGAGCATATGCACCCTCTGGAGGACACTTATTAGAAGACTAGGGTGTGCATCTCCATCCGGGATAGAGAGAAGGAAGCATACCAGCTGGACTCGAACTATGCACATCACGCTCACTGTGCCACCATAGAAGATAGCATAGAAGATGCGGCCGCTGTAGCCTGCATGGGTCCCCGTGGTCGTCGCTTTGATGATATGAAGGAAGATGAATATTGCTTCCTCCCTCGCCAATGCCCTGACTTGGGATGAACAATAATGGACCCTAAAGGCACGGATCCCACTACTCAAGTAATGGTGCACTATGCCTATAAATTAGTAGACAAGAATCAACGGCTGAAAGATCAGTTGAAGGCACGGAAGATGACTCTTAAGAGATATCGACAAGTGATAGACGAGCAATGGGTGTGCCTCAACCTGCTAAGGATCTATAAGGAGCTTCCCCATGAATTTCGCCCATAGGTGTTGGAGTTCCTTTCTATGTAATAAGACGTTAGTAGCACGGGTTAAGTTGAGTCAAGTCGAGTCTAGTAGTGCGGTGTGAACTTTAGTGTGCCTAGTTGATTTATTATTATGTTTATGTGTGAGTTGGATTTTTGTAATGACTGCTAGAACTTTGTGGGTATGTTCGCAAGTTCCATAGTTAAGAATATTAAGGTTTGAGTCAATAAATAAATAGTTCGGTTCGGTACATCTTGTTCTCTTGGATCTGTTTTTTGGAGCCGTCTGCCCTTATCTCAATGCCAATCTAAATCTACTCGACCAAAAATTATGAAATGTTTATGGGAGCAACTAGACTTAAGTATCTTTCTAATGCCTCTGGAATCACCCTTATACCTGATCTGGTTTGTGAGATATAGCTGTTCCAAGTTGAAGTTTCTGTGCAGTCTGGAATTTGGACAGTTCGGTTGTATCCTGTTTTGAGTAACCTAATGACAGAATCTGGGCATGTGTTCTGAATAAAAGTTGTAGATAATTTCTTAAGCTTTCCAACCATGTAAATAACGTCTCTTTTGGATATCTGGAACTCAAGATATGACTGTTTTACAGAGCTGCTGATGTTGGAACTCGTCCAAAAAAATTTCATAATGTATTCTATATCTCTATA